AGAGGAAGGAAAAAAGAGAGAGAAAGGGAGGGAAGAGAGATATTGAGAGAGATGGGGGGGTGAGGGGAGAGATTGGAGTGGTTTCTTCATGATCTGTGGACTTGTGGCAATATAATTTCTTTTTTTTTCAAGTCTGTCAAGATTCTTAATTCATTGGGGGAGTTAAGTAAAAACTAAGGAGATGGGGCTTCCCTTGTGGCACAGTGGTTGAGGGTCCGCCTTCCGGGAGAGAGGGAAGAGAGGTATTGGGAGAGATGGGGGGGTGAGGGGAGAGGCTGGAACGGTTTCTTCATGATCTGTGGACTTGTGGCAATATAATTTCTTTTTTCTTTTTCAAGTCTGTCAAGACTCTTAAAAAAAAAAAAAAAAAAAAAAAAAACTAAGGAGATGAAAATTTAAGTCTCATTATGTATGAAACTTGCTGCCTCATTTTCCTTTTTTTAAAGATAAAACTTTAAAAAAGAAATGTACTAGTTAATTGCAGGCACCGTGGGGTTTAGAAAGTAGGGGAAAGTTACAGTCAAGTAACAGCTATATTAAAACATGAATGTGCGTTGTTTATACAGAAAATTGTTCATTTAAGAATGGAGAAGAGTCATTTCATTCAAAAGAGTCTATTAGGAAGTTTATGGAAAGAATTTTATAGCAAAAAATATTTGCATAATACTGCTTGATCTTTTCTGTGTTATGATTTATAGTGTGAAAACTCAACTATAGTTTTTATTAAACTCATAAACATTGTTAATGTGTATTATTAATCATTTAATTGTGTGAAATTGACATTTTCATTAAACAGAAATTTTTAATATTGGATTTATGCTATATTTTGGACATGGCCAATGATGACATTATATTTCCTAGTGAAAGTTTCTGAATCACATAAATAATAATTTTTTCCTCATGCATTTATTTAAAAAGCTTAGTTTTATACTCATAGTATAAACAAATTTTTGTATCTTACCATTTACTTATTAGTATTTCTACTTGTTGCACCATCATTTTAATAAACATTTATAGGGCTGTATAATTTGAATGAAATGTTTATTAAAATTTCTTTGTAGGATTATCCATAATATTTCTAATACAGGCGGCTATTTAATTACAAGTTAATTACAAGTTTTATAGTTTGTAGAATTGGGAGATATTGCTAATTGTACATTTTATGGTTCCAGTATTTAATAGTTGCAAATTAATGCTTTCTTTCCTAGCAAATTTGCTTTTTGTTGTAGTTGGACTTATAATATTAAGCATACAGTTTTATCTGTCTTAGAGGGAAATGTTTTTAAGTAAATTGTTACAAAAGGTTAATACTTTCATTTTTAAGGAGAACCTATGTTCCTTCACAAAAGAAGTTCGTACTTTAATTTATAAAGATCTTCCATTTGAAACTCTGGAAGTTGAAGCAAAAGTGGCGTTAGAAATATTTCAACACAATAAGTAAGTGTTGGCTTGCTTTTAAACAAAATTAAACCTCCCAAAGTTGTATGTATTGAAGAAAATTCAGCTCTTAATAACTTTCATATTTTTTCACTTTTTACTTTTTAGCTCTGGGATCTCTTTTCTGCACCAGCCTATTTGCTTTTGTTCATCTCATTATTTCACTGAGAAGAAGTGCCCCTGCCACACCTTTGATAATTTTCTTACTTTGTCTTACTTCTCTTTTTCTTTGGCTAGTCCTTTTCTTTATATCACCATAGCAGTATGTTTCCCTTTTTTCCTTCCATTGTGAAGTGGTAGCCTACGTTAAGAAATTGCATTAGTTTGAATTTAAACTTAAATTTATTTAAACTGTTGCATTTGGCAACCTTTCCTTCCCATCTTTCCACTCTTCAGATGAAAAGGGTAAGAGAAAATACCAGCTGTTCGGAGGCAGCTAACAGCTGAAGTAAAACGTTCACACAGATCTTAGTCTTCTGCATGGGAATTAACCATTTGATAGATTTTCTTCGCCAACATGTTAAATCCTGCCTGCCTTCTCAATTCCCTTTTTCACTCAGAAAACTTCCAATTTATCTTCTACTAATTGTGAGAACATAAACTAAATTTTAATGTTAAACAAATTAAAATTAGAATTAATTAGAAAGGAATACCTGCCTTGCAAAAAATCATATAGATACTAGATTCTAAAGCCAAAATGTGCACCTGCAAATTGTTAAAGGTAAATGGTTTGGAATTTCTTTAGCTATTTATAAAATGAGGCACAGATTCTCATGGGGCTAGTTTATAATATTTAGCATATTTTGGAACCAGTGTACTTAGAAAGCAGTAGGAATATACTGAACTGGAGTACAAATTATTCTTTACAACTAAATTACCATTAATTCTATAAGAAAACTCCTTAAATTATCAGAATTAATCAAGTCACCTCCCCCACCAAAATGCTAGGGCTGTGTTATCCAATAGAAATATGATGTGAGTCATCTATATAACTAAATTTCTTAGTTAGCTATATTAAAAAAAATTCAAAATAAAGGTGAAGTTAATTTTAATAAAAGTTTTATTTAAACAACGTATCTGAAACATTTCAACATGTGATTGATATTAAAAACTTAATTTTTTATAATTCTCTTTTTCATACTAAGTCTTCAGAATCTGGTGTGTATTTTACACTTAAGGCACATTTCAATTAGGACTAATTACATTTAAGTGCTCCATAGCTACCATATTAGGCAGGGTACTCTAAACTTTCATTTCATGTTACACTGAGATTTCCCTTTCCTCCCACTCAACTGTCAAAGTCTAGGAGAGGCTTGTAGGACTTTGGTAACTTTAGGTAAATGTGTAAAGGGAGGTGGGAGATCATTTAGGGGCAAGTTTGAGGAGACAGAGTTTTGGAGGTTGAAGGTGGATCAGTGATGGGGCCTTTCTCCTGTAGGGGGAACTTTCAGTGGCTTTGCCTCCCAGGGGACAGGAGTTTCTCTTAGAAGTGGGTCAAGAGGAACAAGTATTCAAGGGAATTGGCTCCCTCAATAATCATCAGGGCTCTGGAAGAAGGGGTGTGGCAGTAAGTGGATGTTTTTGCACAAACTGACGCTTCTCAACCTTGCCACACATGTGTAATGTTTGTGTAGCATTCTGGGGTAAATAGGCAAGGCTCTTAATAGTAAGTGGTAAGGTCATGATTTGAACCTGGGCTGTGCAGTTCCATCTGTACTATTCATTATACTGACAGACCCTAGTGGATTTGAGAGACATTTAGGCAGTAGAATTGATGTGACTTGGTAATGAATTGGATGGAGGGAATGTGGTGGGAGAAACAGGAATCAAGGAAATCTCTGAAGTTTTTCACTTGGAGATGTGGGTAGTTGGTGGTGTCATTTACTAAACTAGGGAATTCAGGAATAAGAATAAGTTTGGTGAGAAAAGAGAAGGTAAGTTTTTGTTCAGTTTGAGAACTTGGGAGTGTAAGATGCTTGTAGACACCCTGGTGGATGTCTGGAGTGTTTTGGATATACAGTTTGGGGCTCAGAAGAGATATGTGGATTGGAAGCAGAGGTGTAGAAGATATAAACACATAAGTAGTAATTAAAACTGTGCAAATCAAGGAGCTAGCCCAGAGAGGATGCTTAGAGTGAAAAGAGTTTATGGACAGAACCCTTGAAGGGCAGGGGAAGAGAAGGGTGACCAGAGAGTTAAAATAACAAGCAGTAGGGAATGCCACAGAAGCCGGGAAAAGAACACTTGGAGAAGTGGAGGTGAGCAGTGGAAATAAGGACTAAAGAGTGTCCATTACGTTGGCACCAAGGAGAACAGTTTGGTGGAGTTGTGAAGCTGTGGCCAGATTGAAGGAGGTGAGGTGTGAATGGGAAGTGAGGAAGGGGAGGTTCCAAGTGTAAACCCCTCTTGCAAAAATTACGGCTGAAGAGGAGGAGAAAGGGAAGTGGCTTTAAACACCTTTTTGTACATTTAGAATTAAAACATTTGTTTCTTTGCTGCTTTTTAGGTACAAATTAGATTTCATAGAAGAGAAGGCATCTCAGAACCCTGAGAGAATAGTCAAGCTACACAGGTAAGTAAAAATATAAAAATTGACTGCTATGCTAATTTATAGGAAGGTTTAGTTTTATTGTTACCTGGTGTATGACTGGAAAAGATTTGTACCCTAATTTGTTGGTCTTATTACCTTACTTTTTATTGCTTTGTTCAGTTTTTTGCTATGGTGTAATTGGAAGCTTTAAGTCATCTTCAGGAACAGTTGTGGTTTCTGTTCCTCATTTTATTGTTTGTTATTTTTATTTCTGAAAGAGTGGGAAACCATTGTAAGAAAATGTAATTTTTAGAGTTAATTTTGAAATTGGGCAAAATACTCATTGTTAATGAAACGAACATGATTCATATGTATATAGAAACATGAATACTGCCTAATCAGTTATTACTTATGTTACATATAAGGAAGTTATATCCCAGTGTGCTTTCTGATGCTGGGATGAGAGAGGTAAGAATGCATTATGCAAAAATGGCTTCATGGCCTGTATCTGTTTTATCAACTTCATGTTTTCTTGACTCAGATTAAAATTTTTTCCTCTAGGAAGCTGCCTTACATGCTAAATTCTAAACTCTGTTGCAGTTAGTTGTTATAAGGTGATAGGATATCAGTTTTAGACATTGGATCCACTTGATAGCATGATGTGTTCAGTGATCTTAAAAATTTTTAAGGGACTTCCTTGGTGGTGCAGTGGTTAAGAATCTGCCTGCCAGTGCAGGGGACACAGGTTCCAGCCCTGGTCCGGGAAGATCCTACATGCCATGGAGCAACTAAACCCGTGTGCCACAACTACTGAGCCTGTGCTCTAGAGCCTACGAGCCACAACTACTGAAGCCCGTGCGCCTAGAGCCCGTGCTCAGCAACAAAAGAAGCCACTGCAGTGAGAAGACTGCTCACTGCAATGAAGAGTAGCCCTGCTCGCCACAACTAGAGAAAGCCTGTACGCAGCAACAGAGACCCAAAGCAGCCAAATAGTTAATTAATTAATTAAAAAATTATTTTAAAAATCTTTAAAATTATATTAATGCTAAGTAAGAAAAGGATTTATTGATTTTTTTTTTTTTTTTTTTTTTGTGGTACGCGGGCCTCTCACTGTTGTGGCCTCTCCCATTGTGGAGCACAGGCTCCGGATGTGCAGGCTCAGCGGCCATGGCTCACGGGCCCAGCCGTTCCGCGGCATGTGGGATCTTCCTGGACCGGGGCACGAACCCGTGTCCCCTGCATTGTCAGGCTCTCAACCACTGCGCCACCAGGGAAGTCCGGATTCATTGATTTTAATTTCTAAAAGTGTAGTCTCATCACTTGAGATTCTTGTGTCAGGGGCTATTAGAGATGGAATTGATCCACATAGATTGTTCTTGATTAGGGATGTAGTGGCAAAAAGAATGAATAGATTTTTTTTAACTATTGTAAGCGATTTGATTTTGAAGTTTTATTTGTTTGTTTTTTAAATCAAATCAGATTTGGTGACTTCATTGATGTGAGTGAGGGCCCTCTTATTCCAAGAACAAGTATTTGTTTCCAGTACGAAGTGTCAGCGGTTCATAATCTTCAAGCCACCCAGTCGAGTCTTGTACGAAGATTCCAGGGTCTCTCTTTACCTGTGCACTTAAGAGTAAGTAAAGCTTAAAGTTTCAGGTCATTCAGTTTGGGTGTGGGTGTGATTCTGGTCTTGATTTTATACCAGTTTGAAGGACATACATTTTAATTTTCATTAAGTTGTGTAACACTAATATTTTGTCAACTTGGGTTTATGATTAAAAATAATTTTACCCAGGATGTAAACAGATAATTTACAAAACAAGTATTAGTTGAAAAAATTAAATCAAATTGAGATAGTTTTTCTTTTTTTTAATACATTTATTTATTTATTTATTCTTGGCTGCATTGGGTCTTCGTTGCTGCGTGTGGGCTTTCTCTATTTGTGGCGAGTGGAGGCTACTCTTTGTTGCGGTGTGTGGGCTTCTCATTACGGTGGCCTCTCTTGCTGTGGAGCACGGGCTCTAGGTGCACGGACTTCAGTAGTTGTGGCTCGTGGGCTCTAGAGCATAGGCTCAGTAGTTGTGGCACACAGGCTTAGTTGCTCTGCGACATGTGGGACCTTCCTGGACCAGGTCTCGAACCTGTGTCCCCTGCATTGGCAGGCGGATTCTTAAATGACTGTGCCACCAGGGAAGTCCGAGATAGTATTTTTAATACTTCAAATTAGTATAGAGGAGGGTGCAGTGAGGAGTAATGGAGCACATATTGATAGGACCTTCAGGGGTGCCTTTTGGCCTTAACATTTGGCACGTTCTTCTCCCTAATCTATTTTGAGGATCTATTCCATATCATTTTCCATATTACTCCCACCCCTTGCTAATGCTTTTATTTTTTAATTAAAGTTCTGATTTTGAGATAATTGCAGATTTATATGCAGTCCTAAGAAATAATAAAGAGAGAACCCAAGTACCTCTACCCAGTTTTTCCAATGGTAACATCTTGCAAAACTGTAGCACACTATCACAGCCAGAGTATGGACATTGATACAGTGAAGATACAGAGCAATTCCTTCACAAGGATCCCTCATGTTGGCCTTTGATAGCCACAGCCACTCACACCCACTCCCCTCTGCCCCACCTCCACCTCCTTGCTTCTGGTAACTTCTCATTTGTTCTCCATTTCTATAATTTTGTCATTTCAAGAATGTCATATGAATGGGATCATTCACTATTGTGATTTTTGGGATTGGAGTTTTTCACTCAGTGTAATTCTCTGGAGATTCATCTAAATTGTTACATGTATCAATATATCAATAGTTTGTTCCTTTTGGGCTTCCCTGGTGGCACAGTGGTTAAGAATCCGCCTGCCAGTGCAAGGGACACAGGTTCGATCCCTGGTCCGGGAAGATCCCACATGCCGCAGAGCAACTAAGCCCATGCGCCGCAACTACTGAGCCTGCGCTGTAGACCCCGCGAGCCACAACTATGGAGCCCGAGTGCCACAGCTACTGAAGCTCATGCACCTAGAGCCTGTGCTCTGCAACAAGAGAAGCCACCCAATGAGAAGCACGCGCACTGCAACGAAGAGTGGCCCCTGCTCACCACAACTAGAGAAAGCCCACGTGCAGCAACCAAGACCCAAGGCAGCCAAAAATAAAAATAAATAAATAAAGTAAAAACAAAACAAAACAAAAAAAAACAGAAAAAAAAAATTGTTTGTTCCTTTTAATTGCTGAGTGGTATTCCTTGGTGTGGATATACCACAGTTTGTTTAGCTGTTCACTTGTTAAAGGATATTTGGGTTGCTTCTGGCTACTTTGAATAAAGCTATTATGAATAAAGCTACAGTAAACATTGGTGTGTAGGTTTTTGTGAATAAATGTTTTCATTTCTTTGGGATAAATGCCCAGGAGTGCAATTGCTGGGTCATATGGCAGGGGCATGTTTAGTTTTTTAAGAAACTACCAAGCTAAGTTCCAGTTTCTATTCCCACCATCAGTGTGTGAATAATCAGTTTTTCTAATCCTTGTCAGCACTTGATGTTGTCAGTAATTTTTATTTTAGCTATTCTGATGGGTTTGTAGTGGTTTCTTATTTAATTTTAATTTGCATTTCCCTACTGGCCAGTTACGTTGAACATCTTTTCATGGTCTTACTTGCCTTCTGTAATGTCCGTTTTTCTCTTTTGCCCACATTCTAATTGGATTGTTTGCTTTTTTACTGTTGTTTTGAGAGTTTTTGTTTTTTTGTTTTTTTGATATTCTGGATACTATTTCTTTGCTAGATATGTAGTTTGCAAATATTTTCTTTCTGTCTGTAGCTTGTCTTTTCATCCTTTTAACAGGTTTTTACAGATAGCAGTTTTTAATTTTGATGAAGTCCGGTTATCAGTTTTTCCCTTTATGGATCATGCTTTTGGTGTCACTTCTAAGAATTAAATGCCCAGCCCTAGATCCCAAAGATTCTCCCCTATTGTTTTTCCTAAAAGTTTTCTATTTAAGTTTGTAGTTTATTTTGAGTTAAATTTTGTATAAGGTGTGAGATTTAGGATGAGGTTCCTTGTTTTCTTTTTCCCTATACTTGTCAAATTGCTCCAGTACCATTTGTTGAAAAGGCTATCCTTCCTCTGTTGAGTTGCTTTTGTACTGTTGTTAAAAATCAGTGGTCGTATATGTGTGGGTCTATTTCTGGGTTCTCAATTGTGTTCCGTTGATTTACGTGTCTCTCTCTCTCTTCCAGATATCACACAATCTTGATTACTATAGCTTTAATAGGTCTTAAAATGAGGTAGAATAATTCCTCCCATGTTATTATTTGTTACAAAAATTGTTTTAGCTATTCTAGATCCATTGCCTTTCCATTTAACTTTAGGGTAATCTTTTTTCTATCAATAAATCTTGCTGGGATTTTCTTTTTTCTTTTGCCCTACCCAGGTACGTGGGGAGTTTCTTGTCTTTTGGGAAGTCTGAGGTCTTCTGCCAGCATTCAGTAGGTGTTCTGTAGGAGTTGTTCCACACGTAGATGTATTTCTGATGTATTTGTGGGGAGGAAGGTGATCTCCGCGTCTTACTTTTCTGCCATCTTCAATGGTTCTCCCTTGCTGGGATTTTGATAGAAATTTTATTAAACCTGTATATCAGTTTGGGGAGAATTGATGTCTTTACTGCATTGAGCCTTCCAATCTATGAACACAATATATCTTTTCATTTATTTAAATCTTCTTTCATCCCTTTCATCAGCATTTTTTAGTTTTTACCATACATGTCCTTTACATGTTTTTTCCACACACCTTCCTTTCCTAGCTTTTTCCATTTCAGTAAATGATACTGTCGTCTAGCCGGCTGTTTGAGGTAATCCTTGATTCTCTGTTTCCCTCATAGCCATGCTCCATCCCATCCACCAGCAAGTCCTTTCAACTCTTAACCCTTAAACATATTCCAAATGCATCCACGGCATAGCAGCTCATCCACTACTGCTTCCCTCATCCCTGTCGCTCTTTCTCTTCACTCCCCTTCTTTGCTTTCATTCTTGCCCCCTACAGCACATTCTCTGCTGAGTAGCCAAAATGAAGCTTTTAATATACAAATCAGATCATGCAGTTCCTCTGTCCCAGACGTTCCAGTGGCTTCTCATGAACAAATGCCAACCCTTCACTCTGTCTCACAAAGCCCTACGTTGTGTGGCTCCTGCCTCTCTCTCTCTGACTGCATCTCGTACCGCTTTCTCCGTTACCCGTTTTATTCCACTCACACCTTAAAGTCTCCCACCCGCTGCTCATTCTGCCTGAGCCAGGTATGGTTTTCCCTTTAACATACCATGCTGCTCTTCCTCCAGAAGGTTTGCATGTACATATTTAGTAATTTTACCTTTTATTAGAGATTTTACTAGCTCATCCAGTTTGAAATAGTCCCTGACCCACCCATATCCCTCAGTATCACCTTCAACTGAGTTAGTAACATTGATGTGGTCGTTTTGCACTTTGCAGTTTTCATTTATGCATTCTGATAATCCTCTGCTACATAAGATTGTTAAGAATTAAGGAAATTGGTTCTATAACTTTACTGTTGTCTTCATTAGTTTTTATTTGTTCTTTAGGGTAATTTACTAAATCCTCTAGGTCTGCTCTTTCAGTGTGAGATGTCACGGTTGTTTTTTTTTTTTTTAACATCTTTATTGGAGTATAATTGCTTTACAATGTTGTGTTAGTTTCTGCTGTATAACAAAGTGAATCAGCTATACATATATCCCCATATCCCCTCCCTCTTGCATCACAGTTGGTTCTTAATGAACCTTTCCTTGTGATTGCTTGTGATTTGAAGAATGACCATTAGCATATTGGAATTGGCTATTTAAGAAAAGAACGGGTGGAAAAGTGGGACAGATTTTTGCTTCCCATTAGAAGGAATGTGTTCTACGGTGGTAATGATTAAGAAGGACAAAGAGGAAGAATGGCATATTCAGTCCTTAAGTCTTCTTTTCTTAAATGCTAAACAAAGCAGCTGCTCTGTATAGTATGTACCCTTTTTCCCTACTTGAACTCACTTTTGGAACCACTTAGCCTCATTAGTACTGCCTAACTTTTTATGTATTTGTTTTGTTTAAAACCTATGTAAAGACTCGGCCTCTTCTATCGTAACTTTTGTGCTTTATATAATTAATAGTAAATCTTTTCTTCTCAAGGCACATTTTACGATATGGAATAAACTATTGGAAAGGTCTCGGAAAATGGTGTTTTTGACAACATGTGAGTACATTTCTATGAAGAAATTTTCCTTGAAGTTAAGCAACCACTACTACCACAACAACAAAATAATAAAGAAAAAAGAAAAGAGAAAGAAATAAAAAAGTAATTAGTTGTCTAAATAGCTAAAGTAATATTGTGGTTGTTGACCCTGTTAGTATTTTGGCAAGAGAAAAGTTGTTATTTGGCATTTCTTTTCATTTTTATTTGTTAGTATCATGGGAATGACATTGTAGAACTTGAAGAAAAATAAGAATATTACTGTATAGTAGTTGTAGTTCTTAATGGTTGTAATGGTGTTAATTAGGTCTTGATAATTTTTTGGTAAACTTAATGAACATTTAAAGATTTGATATGAGTTAAAGCTGCCCCGACAGTTGACATATTAAATATGCAAATGTCCTAAAGAACCAAATTTGAATACTTGTGTTACTGTCGTTTATTCTGTGTCACTAGCTTCTAGATTTCACAAATAAAAATGATTATATTTCTTGACCACGATCATCCCTGTTCACTCTTTCAGAGACTAAGTGTTAGCTTTTTACTTACATTATCTGATAGCTCTCCTGTGTAACCTGGCCTCGTGAACCCTTCCTCGTTACCCTAAGTTTCCACTCTAGTCAAGCTTACAAGTACACATCAAACTTACTTTCTTGTTTCTTTGTTTTAGTTTACCTTCTTCTGTCACTTCATTTTTTTCCAGCTTTATTGAAATACAGTTGCCATACAACATTGTGTAATTTTAAAGTATACTGTGTAATGATTTGTTATATATATATATTGCAAAATGATTAACACAATAAGGTTGGTTAACACATCCATTATCTCAGAGAGTTAGCTTTTTTTATGGTAAGAAGGTTTAAAATCTCCTCTCTTAGCAACTTTCAAATACGTATTGCATATTGTTAACTCAAACTTATGCTCAAGTTTGTTTCTTTATGACAGTTATGTCTAGACTCTGTTTCCCATCCTCCTCCTGTCTGTCCTCATTCTGCAGGACCTTGTCCAAATCTTACCTTCTCCATGTAACATTCTCAGAGTAATCTCTGAACAAATATCCATCCCTGCAATTTCTGCTTGATTGTCTACCTCCTCATATTGTTTTCTGATTATTTTTGCTAGTACATTTACATTGTGTTAACCCATTCAGGGTTTGTTGTATACTATGTGTAATGCCAGAGTTTGAACACAGCACTTGGCATATGGGGGATTACCCAATAAATTTTTATTGATTATTTTGCATGATGATGTGTAAACCTAGTCTTTATCAATGACTTTACAGATAGAATTCACTATTTAGGCCCTTAGCTATAATGTTTTTGTGTAAAGGTGATGTAAATTTTCTTTTTCTCATGAGAAGAAAGTGTTTTTGAATAGGGAGAGTAACTTTGTCTCTTTGGTTGGTCTCAATGTCCATTTTAGATTAAGAAACTAGAGAAAAAAAATGAGTCTATAAGAAATGTAGAAAAATAGTAGAGGCAGTAACCTAGAGTAGTACCTAGTAGAAATCAGTGAGTGGCTGTTTTTGCAACATTTATTTTGGTTCCGTTTCCTTCTTCCACTGTTTACTCGTCTAAAGGGAGTAGGTTAAACATATGGTTCATTGATTTAACTACACAGACTTATGTGGGGCTCTGGCATAAAGAAGAGAAGGATCCAAACCAAGCTGGGAGGGGTTGGTTAAGGAAGCTTCCCAGGAATTGATGTTTCTTAAGCTGGTTTTAAGCTACTTGCCTAAGAGGTGTGGAGGAATGGAGTGCGTAGTGAATGTAAGATGAATCTGGATGTACAGTCACATGTAGGGTGGGTGATGAGTCCAGATTAGTTTGTTGGAAATAGAATATGAGGGGCTTGTCTTCCATGATGTGGAATTTGCATTCCCTTCCTGAAGGTGATTGGAGGTAACTGGAGAATTTGAATAAGGAAGTGACAGGTAACTGGAGAATTTGAGTAAGGAAGTGACCTATTGGTAAACTATTCCTGTGTAAAAGCTTATTCTGGGGGCAGCATGGAAGATAACTGTGACTTAAGCCATAGTAGATGATGAGATCCTGAAGTTCCGGCAGGGCAGTGAAAATGGCTGTGAGAGTTACTTAGGTGGAATTAATAGGACTGTTGATTAAATATGCAGGTAAGAGAACTGTGGGTTCTCTCATGCCAGGCTTGGGCACCTGGGTAGAGCCCTTCACTGAAATGGATAATGCAGGAAGTAGGGCAGGTTTTGGGGGTGATGAGGGATACAGTTTAGCTCTGTTTGTTTGCTGTGTCTGAGTGACATATAATAGAAATATTGCCATACAGATATCTATTTCTACTAAACCTGTATTATACTATATTCAAAGTAGAATTATTGATTTTTTTCAACAAAATAGATTGATTTAAAATACCTTGTTGCAGCACTGCTGATATTTTTCTTAAACTAATGATTTCATTTTATAGATGAAAAATAAAATGACCATCTCGAGAAGCCTAGATATATGCCTTAGGTTGTATTTTTAATGGAGTTATTGTACTTGGTAATTTATATTGGGAACTTGGTCTTGTAAGTTTTCTTCTCTTTCTACTTAACTTTCTATAATAATTACTATTGAAGGAGAAAGACAAAGACAGGGTCATTATAAGAGAAAGGCTGTGCAGTGATTTTAAATGGTGGGTGAAGGGTAAAACTAAAAGTGTTTATTAGAAAAGTAAAGCTATTTATGTTTTTACAGGTACCTGAAGATCAAACTCAGCCTACAGAGGAAAGTGCATCTGCCTAGTAACTTCCTCAAATTTAGATATGTATAGTAAATTAAAATAAAAGTTTTCTATGTAATGTTTATGTGTGCTTTTTGTCTTTTTCTCCCTAAGATGTATACTGATGTTTACTTTTTCCTTTTTCTAAAGGATAACACAATAAAAATTTTACACAGAAACAACCCTGTCTCCTCCTCTCCCCGAATGTAACACTTTGGCATGTTTTCTCCTTTCAGTCCTTTTTTGTACATGTATAAACATATATGCACAAATACAAATGCCATCTTTTACAAACATAAATAGGACCATCCTAGTTTCCATTTTTCACTGTTGTAAACAGTGATGCAGTAAACATCATTGTGGCAAGTGGCAAGTGTTTGTGGATGGATTAACTGACTATTTACTGAGTAACTGAGTATTTCCTGTATACTGGCCATCGTGCTGAGCTTTTCACATGGAGTCTCTTATTTAATCCTCACAACAACCTGTTGAGAAGGTGTTTCCATTTTGTAAATGAGGAAACTGGGGAGCATAGAACTGGCAAGTAGCAAAGCTGGAATTTGGACCCAGGTGCTTTCACTGACGTGCTCTTATGTACCACTCTCTTGTTCATGTTTAACAGTTATAGTATGTATTTGTGAATCTTTCTGAACATACTAATAGAGTTATAGTCATTGATTTGTTCATTCATCTATTTCCTAGTCCCTGAATGATCTCGTTCCTCTAGAGTTGAATTTTTTGCTTATCTCAGTCTTTCATGTTTCAGGCTTTTTTTTTTTTTTCAAATCTAGCGATTGTCGGTTGTTAGTTTTAGTTGATAATGCGGCTGTAGGGAGGTTGAGTGGTAGCTCTGTGGTATGGGCGAGGTTTGGCTTCTCAAGATGAGTAGGTGAAGCTGGCTGTTATGATGCGGATTTTCTAACACTAGAATGAAGAGATTGTCAGTCTTGGTGACTGGTTTCTATAATGACTATTCTTCTCCCCAGACTGCTCTTTTATTTTATGAGATCCCTCCAGTATCTTACCTGTGGGCAAATATGTGGATTCAGGCCCTTCTGTATTTGGAGGTAGGGGGTATGGGGTAGAGATCAACTGGTTTGTATATAGACCTTTAGTTGATCCCATTCTCTTTAGCCCCTCTTCTGTCTTCTGTCTTCCACCCTCTTTGAGCTTCTCCAGGCCAACTGGGCAGGTTGGCTCTCTTCTGCTGGACTCCCGCATGTATTCTAGGCGGTGACATCCTCTACTGTTGCACTGGTCACTCCACTGTCCATCTTTTAGCAACTGGGCGTAATTTCTTGTCTGCTGCTGTTTTCCTCTCCCATCCCCTTTGTTTGTGGATTTATACTTTGAATTTCTTTTTCTTTTAAAAAATTGTGAAATATTTTGAGCTTACAAAAAATAATTTAACAGACCCTTATTTGGATGGACATTTTTCATGCTTTTTGGGCATCTAGCCCTGCTTGAACATCCACTGTTTGGTGACTTCCCCCTTTATGTATCTTACCAAATGGAGAGTGAAACTTAATTTACAAACCTTCCTTGCAGTCAGGGCCCAGACAGGCATCCTAGGCTCACTAGTTAGACACACCTGTGTGAAATTTGAAAGCGATGCTGTGAAGACCATGACACATGGGATCCAGTTTGTTGAGGGGAACAGTGACATGTGGCTTTTAAGGCAGCAGTGGCGGAGGGTCCCGTGTCGTGGTACAAGGTGTGGGGCTGTGCTGAGCAGTTTTCTCCCTGCAGCTGCCCTGTGCTGTAATGGCATTTCTTTGAGTCCTGTGACCTGATCTCTGAGCCTTGTGAGCCATTTGTTTTTTGCTTGAACTAGTAGAGCAGATCTTGTTTGCAACCAAGAATGTTGACATATAGCCACTATCCAAATTAACCACTGTTAACCTTTTTCCTTTCGTTTTTAAATAAAGAAAAAGCTGCCTATCCATTGAAAGTTTTCCTCATGTCATTTCCAAGAACTACTGTCCTTTTTTTGTACATATCCTTACCATTCATGATTTGCAATGTATATTATTCTCTGTATTTTATACTAAACATAATTGGTTTCATGATATGTATATCCTTTTGAAATTTGCTTCCGTTGCTCAGTATTGTGTGTTCACATTTAACATGTTGATACATGTAGAGCTGGTACATGTGCTGAGCTGGTTAATACCTGTAGGAGTATATAGTATCCCATTTGTATGATTAATCCCACAATCAGTTCATTCTCTTATTGACCATTGAGGATGGTCTTGACTTTTTAGTATTATAAACAGTACTGCAGAAAATACTCTTGTTTATATTTCTTTGTGTACACATTTGACAGTATCTCTAGGGTACATACCTAGAAGTAGAACATGCATCTTCAACTCTACTAAATATTGTTAGTCAGTCACCACAATATTTGTACCAGTTTACTCCCTATTAGCAGTCTGATAATTCCTGTTTCCCTACTCGCTCACAAATACTTGTCATTGTCAGACATTCAAATATTTGGTCAGTTGGATATGCATGATCCTATCTAATTAAATTAATTTGTTTAATGCTGAGCATATAGTGACTGAGCATTTCTCCCTTTGTTTAGTATCCAATAAGATTTCCTCTTCTGTGAGTTACCAGTTTAAGGCTTTGCCCCATTTATTTATTTTTTTATTGGATCTTTGGTCCTTTTATTTTTTTATTATTATTATTTTAATAAAATTATTTATTTATTTATTTATTGGCTGCGTTGGGTCTTCGTTGCTGGGCGCGGGCTTTCTGTAGTTGCAGAGAGCAGGGGCTACTCTTTGTGGCGGTGTGCGGGCTACTCTTTGTGGCGGTGTGCGGGCTTCTCATTGCTGTGGCTTCTCTTTGTTGAGAGGCACAGGCTCTAAGCAAGCTGCAGTAGTTGTGGCACATGGGCTTAGTAGTTGTGGCTCGTGGGCTCTAGAGTGCAGGGTCAGTAGTTGTGGCACACGGACTTAGTTGCTGTGCGACATGTGGGATCTTCCCTGGCCAGGGCTCGAACCCATGTCCCCTGCACTGGCAAGCAGATTCTTAACGACTGCACCACCAGGGAAGTCCCCTCTTTGGTCCTTTTAATACAAGTGCTTTATATGTTCAGAAAAACCTTTGTCACTGCAAATATCTTTAGTCTGGCTTACCTTTTAACTTCGTTGATGCTGTTTCTGTGTGGTCAGAATTACTCATCTTTTGCTTTATGATTTATATGTGTTTAGGAAATCTTAAAAAGCCTTCCCTAACTTGAAGTTATAAGGTATTCTTTTGTATTTTTTAATATTTTAAAGTCTTTTCATATTTAATTGTGTCATTTATTTGACATTTAATTTTGCATGTAGAGTGAGGGAAAGGATCTAATTTTGAATCCTCTCCACCCCCACATGGATAGTCAATTATTCTGTACCGTTTATTTTCTTCCTACTCTTAGAGGTTATATCACACATGTATCAGATTCCTTTAAATGCCTGGGTGCACCTTGCTTGTCCATTTGTCAATCCCTGCACCACTGTCACACAGTTTTAATTATTACAGCTTTATAACACATTTTAATTTATGGTATGGTGAGTTCTTATTCTTTTTTATTTCAAAATTGTGATGGTTGTTGGATCACCGTGTCAACTTCTGAGTGCTAGTCTGAAAATCTGTTTTTCTGATACCAGTACTTTTTTTGTTTGAATTTTATATTTTTATACAGAAGGTTCTTATTAGTTATCCATTTTATACATATTAGTGTATACCTGTCAATCCCAATCTCCCAATTCATTCCACCACCACCGCCACCCACCACTTTCCCGCCTTGGTGTCCATACGTTTGTTCTCTACATCTGTGTCTGTATTTCTGCCCTGCAAACAGGTTCATCTACCATTTTTCTAGGTTCCACATATATGCGTTAATATACGATATTTGTTTTTCTCTTTCTGACTTACTTCACTCTGTATGACAGTCTCTGGATCCATCCACGTCTCTACAAATGACCCAGTTTTGTTCCTTTTTATGGCTGAGCAATATTCCATTGTCTGTATGTACCACATCTTCTTTATCCAGTTGTCAGTTGATGGGTATTTAGGTTGCTTCCATGACCTGGCTATTGTAAATAGTGCTGCAGTGAACATTGGGGTGCATGTGTCTTTTTGAATTATGGTTTTCTTTGGGTATATGCCCAGATGTGGGATTGCTGGGTCATATGGTAGCTCTATTTATAGTTTTTTAAGGAACCTCCGTACTGTTCTCCACAGTGGCTGTATCAATTTACATTCCCACGAACAGTGCAAGAGGGTTCCCTTTTCTCCACACCCTCTCCAGCATTTGTTGTTTGTAGATTTTCTGATGATGCCCATTCTAACTGGTGTGAGGCGATACCTCATTGTAGTTTTGACTTGCATTTCTCTAATAATTAGTGATGTTGAGCAGCTTTTCATGTGCTTCTTGGCCATCTGTATGTCTTCTTTGGAGAAATGTCTATTTAGGTCTTCTGCCCATTTTTGGATTCGGTTGCTTGTCTTTTTGATATTGAGCTGCATGAGCTATTTATATATTTTGGAGATTAATCCTTTGTCCGTTGATTCGTCTGCAAATATTTTCTTCCATTCTGAGGGTTGTCTTTTCGTCTTGTTTGTAGTTTCCTTTGCTTTGCAGAAGTAAGTTTCATTAGGTCCCATTCATTTATTTTTCTTTTTATTTCCATTACTCTAGGAGGTGGATCAAAAAAGATCTTGCTGTGATTTTTGTCAAAAAGGTTTCTTCCTATGTTTTCCTCTAAGAGATTTATAGTGTCTGGTCTTACATTTAGGTCTCTAATACATTTTGAGTTTATTTTTGTGTATGGTGTTAGGGAGTGTTCTAAATTCATTCTTTTACATGTTGCTGTCCAGTTTTCCCAGTACCACTTACTGAAGAGACTGTCTTTTCTCCATTGTATATCCTTGCCTCCTTTGCATTAGGTTAGTTGACCATAGGTCAGTGGGTTTATCTCTGGGCTTTCTATCCTGTTCCATTGAGCTATATCTCTGTTTTTATGCCAATACCATTTTGTCTTGATTACTGTAGCTTTGTAG